TATTTAACGATTGCAACATAGTTACCCACTAGTGTGGCCACGGACTTGTTTTGAATAGTGAGATGTATGATGATTTGACGAACGAAAATAGTTGCATGTGTATTTGAATATGTTCATCACTATGCCTACACATTTAATTTTGTCTGTTAGAGCATGAATCATTATCTCCTTTTCTATCCTACATTGAGGTTTTTTTTTCTCATTTTATTTTGAAACATAATCTCATTGTGAAAAGGTTGGGTGTGGATCTTTTCTTCATTCAAACTTGCATCCTGCTAAGGATTCAATTCAGATCACAATCTTACCACATAATAGAAGCTAATGTCGTTCTATTCCAGTAACTATTTCTATCCCAATCGACAGCACTCATCATAATCTGTCATATAGTATACTTGTCAAACTCAAGAAGTTTCAACCTTTCAACAACTTCTAAGAATACTGTTTTAATGATATACAGCTATGTTTTACGCTCGAGTATTCATAAAATTATATTCAGTAAAAATTAGAACTTTAATCATAACTAATAATATAATGGAATTTAGCATCGAAAACTGAATTGATTTACGATTGTTTAAACTATTTTTGTTTTGTCTAAGTTGCTTTTGCTTCGAAAATAAATGTCACTCGAACACTGATTTTTATTGTGTTGTGATTTATCATCGTCGCCTAGAAAAGTATTTTGGTTGCAAATATGAGTTTTAAAGTCTTCTCTTCGCTCACGCATACCCACACTTCGACAGGTGGTCTCTTTTCTTGAGCTATATATTATGTATGAAGAACAAAAAATAAAATATGTTGACACTACAACAAAAATATTCGTAACATCTTGGAGGCGATAGAACTAGACATTTATGGACAATGCTAAATAAATAGGAAGTAAAACGGAAACAAAACTATGCATCGCTATTCATCTTATGCGTATGAAGAATCGTTGTGGCTTTCTTCTGAATATTTTGTGTACCTGGTCGCCATCAGAAGTATTGATTCAGATGCCAACTTGTTATTTATCAAAAGTTGCATGCAGTATTGTTCGATGCCTATTCAATGGTTCTTTAAATCTGCGGGTCTATTATAATATTTCAGAAATTTTTTAACGTGACTAGTCTAATATTTGGCACCGGTACAATTCATAGTTGAAAAACTGAGGAGGTAGGTTTTGCACCTCAATCAGTAATCTTGCTACCATTCGACTTCTATCTATGGGTTCACTTCAAACCAGCTGTCTATAAAACAATCATAAAAGATTTGTATAATTGAAAGACTTAGATAATGTAATAAGTTAATATAATTTAAAAAAAAATATTGCGTGATGTTGTTTTTGAAATTGTGAGATAACTAAATTTTTGTATTGAAGTCGAAGGTAACACTTTTTAAGGATATTTATGAACTCTGTCTTGATGGGAAAAAATACTTATCTATCTTCTCTTCCAAATAAAAAAAGATTATTACATGAAACTTGATTAGTAATAGAATTATATGCCATTTCTCAGTGATATTGACTGTTAGGATATCCTCAAATAACAGAAGATCTATATTTGAGTGCAAAAAATCATATGTCATTCATATAAGAACACATGAAACTTCGTTTTAGTTCCTTATTTGTTGTTATAACATTTATGTTTGTGAAAGACGCATATCATATGATATTTTCAATTTATCTTTCAGAGATTTCATTTTTTTTATCCTTCTAAAGTTTAAAAAAAAGATAAAAATCATGATGCTTATTCAAAGTTTTCTATGGCAACAGATATACTACAGGAATGTATATGATATGTTTGCTGGTCTTTATCATTGAGCAAACATTTTATTGTGCTTGTAACACTTCAATGCTGTTCACAAATGGTATTTTAAATTTATAAATTATTCTTTGTCTTTTCGAATGTATTAGTGTAAAATTTCTAGTTCTGATTATAATATACAAACTTGCTTGTTCTGTACCTTGTTCATTAAGTTCATTTTGATTTGTTGACTGAAAATTATCACAAAAAAATGTTTGTTGTTTTGCTTTACTTTCTATGGTTTTCCGAGGTCATGTTAACGAGTAAAATTTTCTTACATAAATCTTGACGAACTAAATGTTGATTTTTGTTTCATATAAAAAAAGGAAATTATTCTTTTCAAATAACTTGTCAAACAAAATGCTTCATACAGGCATTAGTTAATTTGCTCGACTTAACGGGTGAGGTAAAAGTTCTGCATTAATTTTGTTTTTGATGCAGCGCTGTAATGGTATCTCGTAGAGATTTCATCTTTTTTTTTGTTAGAAAGAGCAAAGTGTCTAGTGCAAAAACATACAAATGAATATCATTCAAAATGTTTGATAGAAGCTGCAGATATTTTAGAACAGAAAGCATTGAGAAATGATTCCGCAACTTTTTTTTGATCTTGGAAAGGGTTTTATTTTTACTTTCCTAATTACGGTTGTACAAGACACGGGCAGTGAAGTTTTGTAGCAAAAAAACAATTTTTTTTGTATTTTTTTAATGGCTGCAACGAACGCTTTAATGATATTGGCCGATGTCTTCATTTTTTATCATTCTCGATCATAGTCAGAAAAATAAATTCTGTTCGGCAGAGAAATTGTCAGAAAACACATATATTTCATATGAAAAGCAAACTTTGATGAGTCCTCTATCACACCATATTATTTGAAATGGGGTGCAGGTTTTCTGTGTTATACTCACCCAAACATTTGTTTTCACATTAGAAACTATAAATCCGCAAAATAAAATTTTCTAATGATATACTCTTGTATTTATTCTTTTGTAAGCTACACTAATTATATTCATATCATATGAAGGCCTTCTTTTTAATAAACAACTATAAATATATTTATGATTCTCGGAAATATCGCATGATGATGAAGAAAAAGACTAAAAAAATTCTCATCAAAGTGGTGGAATCGTTTTTCAATTCTTTCTGTTTTGAAGTTTCTATAGCCTGTATCAAGCATTTTCAATGATATCCCCCACGAAAATAAAATTCGAAAAACTACGTTTGAAAGAGTTTTTTTTTTCAGCTCACATGTTTTTGCTAGACTGTAAACGTAACTTTTAAAACGAGTTCTTTTTCACTAATAATGCAAGCAAGTCGTCTGGTAACGGGTGTGGATGTGGAGGTGTGGTTGTATTTTATCTCTCGGTCCTTATATACATCCATACCCACATTCACACCCACACCCTTCTCGAGCAATCGGGCTCGATGACTGATGAATGGAAGTCTTTAAGAGGAGCCTACAAGGGTTTTTTGATACAACGTTATGACAATCAAGATAGCGGCGATATTTTCACTGTTGTTCTATTCAATAATCAAGTACAACCAGTGTACACACAAGAACGCTTGTCAAAGAAAATTTTCGAACTGCCGAAACTTAGGATTGGTGGTACAGATTACTGTGCTGGTTTGCGCGAAGCTGATAAGGCAACCAGTGCCAATAAAACGCAATCATCAGTGGTTATGGTTTTCATATCGGATGGTGCAAATTGTTCGAGCGCAGCTCCGACGTCATTCGTAACTCAACTGAACCAGAAATATGCAAACGAACACAACTTTATGTGTCATAAGGTTGGCTTTGGTCCACGAATTAAAACTGAAAGCGCAGAAGTACACTTACTCTCTAACATGGCATTATCCAGTGGTGGTGTAGCTTATTCAGCGTTGACTGATGACGCTCTTAAATATGTTTTTAGTAATGTTGCTGCGAATAGCACAACAAGTGATGCAGTGGTCAAGCATTTTTCAGAGATTCTCGTTGAAAAGATCAGTACTCAAATCATTCTTGACTATCTTTTAATTTATGCTTTCGTATTCTTTATAGCTTTCCCTTTAACCATTAGATAGAATATTTTAATATTTTCTTCAAATTCTAATAAATAAGGAACTTAATTTGATTTTGAATGTAGGTTGTAATTGGTTTCTACAAGTTTTTGAACATTCTAACAAAGTTGAACAAAAAATAATGAATCTCAATAATGTTTATGTGTCCTTTGCGAATATAGTGCTGAACTAGATAGAGACAATTCGTTTATGTATTTGATATTAGGATCAACGAGTCTTGAATCAAAGAAATACTTGACAGAGACATTGACAGTGTGGTATTTTTTGCTCTGCGTGATGCTGAATAAAAATTTTGTGCTGAGTTGTGCGGTACGACCGCGCGCAATCGCATATTAAGCTCCCTGATATCTGAAGTTGAAGGATACAAGGCGTTTCGTCCATAAGAGAAATGCGACGATTATAATGCATCGGAAATTAATCAGATTGAGATGAAAAATTCTAATCATACTTAACTCTCTATGCTGAGAAACTTAGTCTTAATAAGGGCTGTCAAATGAATATGATAGTGACTAATAGTCACAGAAAATAATATCAATACGTTTCACTTTTCTCATATAGTGATATAATGATTGGTCACCCATTAATTATAGCGTATGAGTTGTCCTGATGATGAACTTGCACTTCTTTCAGAATACTAAATGTCTACATCAATCAGTCATGGTCTTGCAGAGGATTACCATCTTTCGACGTAAAAATTTAAATCTTCTGACAGACGTCGTACTGGACATTTCTCACTCTTTGCAACAATACGAAAGCGCTACAAGATAAGGTCGTATTAAGAATGATCTTCATCCAAAATCGATTTCAAAAGATCTTTTAATCAATAGTTTCAACTTATACTTCTTCGTTTGACTTTCTACAATAGCAGATAGTTTCAGTTTTATTTTGATAGTATTCAATTTCATGCGTGCATATACTATGTATAGCAAAATTTTTGTGACATTTTTTTCTTTTAGAAGTATCGGAAATGAGAAATAAAAGATTAATGATATAGTATTTAATTCTATGACTCACTAAATGAAACTTACTTTTCACTAATTTTTTTATTAATATGTTTAGAGGAAGTCTTTCTTTAAAAACCTACATACATCATGTGCTGTGGTCAACATCAGATAGTCGCCTTTGATGAATGAGTTTGAAGATATTCAAATCATTAGAGATGTCTATGGTTTCTTTGAAGAAAACATCGTTGTTGTTGGCCGATTAGGTACTGGATTCAATTGCGACGTTGTTGTTGTTGACATGTGTTTACTTATCTTTTTGAATTGTTCGATATTTTTCTTGGCAAGAGGATTTGTCTTAAAATGTTCTTCGACGAATGTGCGTAAATCTTTGCCCGGTGGAATTGGTTGATCTTTGAGGTCATCAGGTAGTCCACAGATACCCACTCGACATGGCTGTTCTTGACCGTACAAACGCAAACAACATGCCCATATTAATCTCGGAGGTTTGAATTTTTGATCACTATTTGCAATTTGTGCAGCCATTTTAGCGTCTTGAGTAATCATATTAGCTTCATTGTCGCTCAATTCTCTACTCTCATCAAGATAGTAAACATATCCATCATGGTAATGACAACTACCATGATTAGCTTGACATGGAATATAATTTTGTTGACATTTTGGACATTGTTTAACAGATTCATCATCTTCACGTTTTTCTTTATCGATAAGTTCTTGTTTAATTTGTGTAGATGTTTTCTTAAATTCGATATCGTCAACTAAAAGACTACGCAAAAGTGGATGTTTTACTATCATGACCATCCATTTTTCTTTTAATTGTTCATTGACTGTCATCTAGAAATAATGAATATCAAAATCATTTGTATCTTTTATTTTTAATTTTAATTCACATTTTCTGTAGATTTTTTCTGTTCAACAATAGCCGTTTTGCATTTTTCTCGTATAAATTGATATAGATGTATATTTGATATTGACACAGATTTCGACATATTCGAATCGGATACGTTAAGCATAATAAGTGAGTCAATATCGAATAGAAGCATCGAACGATTGTATTCATCACATTCTAAAAAATAATATTTATATATATACATATATCAAATAATTGAATCGATATATAAAAAGAAAAAAAAATATATTATTGACTTCTCTTGTTTTCTTTTCTAATGAACTTCTCGATAAATTTTTAATAAATCTGAAAAAATAACTAAGAAATTTGATTTTCACAGAATGGCTGTCGTCAGTTCCCAGTCCTCTTTCGTTGTAAAAAATCACCAAATAACATTGTGTTTTGTAGAGAAAAAACAATCTCTAACGGATGTCCCAGAATAAATTGCAGTAAATTTCGATTCATTTTTCTCTCACTCGTTATTCATAATAAAGAATTTCAAGCTCTACCAAAAAGTAAGGCTTTCGAATCTCGAAATTCTTGAATTCCTAAAAGCAAAATCCAGAAACCATATTTCGAGAATATGTCGATCGTGTAAAATAGTTAAAATGCTCGTGTACTAGTGGGGTGTGAGTGAATCGAATATCCATATACCCACAATCTTAAGAAAGATTATATTTTCGAGATTTCATTCGTCGGCATTTCGAGGTTTTGCCTTTTGAAATTCTGATAGTAATTCCTATAAAACAATATCATTGAGTTTTAAAAATTTCTATAGCTTGTATATTCCAACTGCGACGCATTGTTGATTGTGATATCATGAAAGTGAGTACGAAAAACAAAGCATTTTATATAAAAACAATAGAGAATTTTGTTGCATTTTTTAATATCCAATTTTTTTTCCTGAAGATAAAAATATTTTCGAATTGTTTTTCGTAAAGAATTTTAGACAGTACGTAACTTGTGAATGAAAGCCTGACATCGTTTTGTTTGTTTGGTTTTTTTGTACAAAGTGACGGAAAATTTTTATTTTGCTCGTTTATTTAGAAACTTCGTGAGTATTGTTTTTTGTTTCTTGAGAGAGTCGCAATAGGGATATACTCTATACATAAAAATGAAAAAAAAAACTTTCTTTTAAAATTCGGGTATACGGTTTCGTAGAAACTGAAATTCTCTAATTTTCTTAGATTACATAGGAAACTGTTTTTTACTAATAGGAAGCGAGAGAGAAAAAAAAATAAATCAAGATTTAGTGTAATTTATTTTGGGACACTCATTACAAGTTATCTATTTCTCGTCCTTAAATTTTAATTCCCTGTTTTTCAAAGCGGCTCGAATACGTTTGTTTAAAAAAACAATATCTGTAAATGTAAAATTAGTTGCTAAAATATTACCGAGAAATGTTGTTGTTAATAATTCGAATATTTGTTTTTCATCGAATGCATTATTTTTTGTTAGAAAATTAAGATCGATAATCTGTATTGTATCAATATTTCGACTTGAACAACCATTAATAAAACGTGATAATAAAGTTAATGTTGATGTTTCTTCATCGAAAAGAGTTTTTTCAAGTGTCGTGTCATTTGTTAATTCAATTAAACATTTTCGTTCTTGTAAATCGACAAGAATACGACCTGATGGTGAATGATTTAGAAATTTAAGTGAATATTGTTCTTGTTGTTCAGTTGATGAAATAACATTTGGATAGAGTCGACAAATTTCTGGTAATGTACTTATGCCGAACCAACAGCTAAATTCACGTGCCGCATTATCAGCTAAATCTAATAGTGTATTATCTGTTAAAACAGATGACTCTTGACATTGTTCTATTGCAACAATAATACTCGATTTAAGTGCACCAACAGCTGCACCACTAAAATTCGTTGTTACTTTAACAAGAAAATCTATTCGTTGACTTGTAATTCGTGTTGTATCTTTAACTAATAAAACTTCGAGCATTTTCTTTCGAATCTGTGGCGATGGTCGACCCACAAAACATTTTGCTTGCATACGACGTAAAAATGCTTCATCCATCATATTACGTCGATTTGTTGCACCGAATACAATTAAATTTGGAATATTTTTAACACCTTCAATATGTGAAAGAAGTACACTTATACCATCAACTTTCGATTGTTGAGCATTATTGTCACGTTTCGGAACTAGACCATCGATTTCATCTATTGTCATTGTACATATAAGATAGGGTATAGTCTTTGCACGATACATTATATCGACAAGTAATCTTTCTGTTTCACCGACATACGGTCGATTTAGTTCACCAGCAGCTAATGCAGTTGTCGTCATGGTGATGCCTGCATAGGTAGCAGCTCGTTTTAATATTTCAGATTTACCTAGAAATGATTTAGTAGTTTTTTTAAAGATAATCTAACGTTTATGTATACCTGTTCCTGGTGGTCCATAGAGTAATAAACCGCGTCCAAATTTCACTTTTAACATTTGATGTGCAACGGCCAAATCGATTTTAAGATATGCATCTAGATCTCGAATTTGACGATTATTTTCGACAATCTTTTCTTCAAGTTCTTTTATTGGCCCTAAGAACGGCGCAAGATCTTTTTCAGCTTTTTCAAGGCGATGTTTAGCGTCTGCAACCTTTTTGTCATTAGCTTCTTCCATCTTACGTGCTTGGTCGCGTAATTTGAGGCTTGTGGCAAAATCTGTACTATTAGCCGCTGCCTTCCTAAATAGTTCTTCGATTGTCGTTGCTTTCTCCTTGTCTCTTTCTTTAATTGCTCTTTCATAACCCATTCTTTCTCCATCGACTAATATCTGCTTTGTTGTAGCCGTTTCTCGGAGTCTATCAATCTGAATATTATAGCCTTTGTTCTGTTCTATTAATTGATTTCGTTTTTCGGTCCATTCATCGTTTTTTTGATTTTGTGCTTCTTTACTTGCATGATTAGTTTGTAAACAAAATGTTCGTAAATAAGCATGAATATTATTAAGAACATTTCCGTCATCATTATAGACAAGTCTTATTTCTCTAATAGCCGTATCGACAGCTTCTCGATCGAGATAAGGTATATATTGGTCTGTTTCAATAACATGATGAAAATAACGTCGTACACGATGTATATCACCGAGTAGAGTTGCTGTTGATTTATCATATGTATTGTTTTCTGCATTAAATGTATGAGAAGCAGCCTTTAATTGAACATAATCACGTATCATTTGTTTAACTAAAGATTTAATCGATGTTATTTTATCCCAACAATATTCGTTTGTTACTGCTTCTCGAAGATGTTCAACTGTGGAAATGCTTTCACCTAGTATTATAGAATAATATTTATTTATTTTTCTAAATTAAAATTTTTATATATTCAGAACTTCACGGAATGCGGGACAGTCTTTCGTTGTCCCGCGGAGCTCTGCTACATACTGTTTAAACTTTTTTTCCATTCATTTGCTTCATTTTCGTCTCGTTTGTTCAATAGACAAATTTTTTTAAGAAGATCTTCGATTCTGACATCGTCTTCTTCTACTACTGAGGCTGTAGATGATGGATCTGTAGTTTTTATTTCATGTGGTTCAATTCGAACTTTAGTTGTCGAACTCGTTTTCCATACTTCGGGAAAATCTTTATTGCCTTCACATTGATAATCGATTTCGAGAAGATTAAGTAAATAATTGAAATTCCATGGTCCAAACGCATCATTTTTTCGAATGAATAAATTCGGTCGATAAGTTGTTCGTATACGTTGATTACTCATATCGATCGGTTCACGTGTCGAGACGAGTGCATATTGATGAAGTGTCGAAACTCGTTCACCATTGGCATTCAGTTTAAGATGCTTATTCGGTTCCATGAGTTCAATAATCAATTTTTTAAGCTCATCACGATTATTTCTGAAGCGAATATTCAACACAATCTCGTCTATAGAAACAACTTCGACAGATCTCGGAGGCGTAAATGTTCTCGTATCGACTTGTGGAGGAGGCTTTGGTGGATTGAATGGTTCATGTGCGTAAGGATTTTTTTCAGTCATTTCAAGGATCCGTAGACAAGTGATAGAAAGACAATACTTATCTAGAATATATTAACTGGATTCTAAATTTATTATTCGAGTTCACTTAACATGTGCTATGGCTTGCGATATCGCATTCTTTTAAGAATGAAAAAAAACTAACTCAAAAACAAAGACTAACTCCTTTGGGTTTTTGAATAATCGAGGGCGGATATATTTTTGTATTTAAAACATATGCATAAGAATCAGATGAATTCAATGTGATTGCAATCTGATTTTCAACAGTCAAGTTCGATATAACGCAATGAATATCGTGTTTGAATCAAGCCGGTTTTAGATTAGATTTGGTAATTTGATTTTGATTTTGATTTTCTTCTTCAATATTCTGTTTTTGTGGAATTGTTTGAGTGTTTTCTTTTTGTAGTTGAATTTCATTTTCATTTTTAATGATATTGTCAATTGTTACTTTTCCAAGATTAAAAATTTCTTTTTGATATTTGTCATTTTGACAATGATATTTTTTTAGATCAGTCATTGCTTCATCGATCTGACGGAGTTTCTTGTAATTTTCTTCTCTAAGCTTTTCATTTTCGATTAATCTTTCGTTCGATTCAATAAATTCAGTGCGTTTTGTATTAAATAATCCTTCATTACGTTGAATCTCTTCATCTATTTTGCTAAGTTCGACTGCTATTGTCGGCAATGTATCTCTTGATGTTTGGATCAATTTTTCTGAGTTTGTTTTAGATTCGTTTAATTTTTTTGCATCGTCTCTAAGCTGTTCGATTGATTTACTATTATTTGTCATTTGTATTCGATGTTGTTTCAATTTGTTTGTAGCATGTTCGATATCACTATATAATTTTGTCTTTTGTAATTCTAATGTATCAATATTCTGACGAATCTTTTGCACTTTGACATCTTGATTTTGAACTTTTTCACGTGCTACATTATATTCTTTTTCGACAATTGTCAATTGTTTACGTATTTCAGGTAGAAGATTTTCAAGATTCGTCTTTTTTGTATTTAATTGTGTGAGTTTATTCGTTGTTTCATCGAGCGTCTTATTTGTTTCAGTTAATTTGTTCCGTAAATTACCTAGATCGATTTTCTTTTTCTCAATTTCGGCTGCTAAATCTTCAGCTTTTTTCGTTTCAGCGTCGAGTAACGATTGTTGATGTGTTATTTCTCGTTCTTTGGCTTGTTTTGAATTGATCATATCGTCTTGTAAACGTTGAAGATTCTCATAATCACCTTTAAAGATAGGAAATTTTGAATTAATAAACATTTGTCAAAAAATTTCATTTTATATCTTAGAAAACTTATCAAACTGTATTAACAAGAAAAACAAATTCCTAATATCTGGCAAAGAGAGAGAGAGTTTTTTTCTCAAAATGAACGTTTATAGTGTTTTCATTGAAAATATATACCGAATAAGACTATTCCTAAGAGGTTTTGTTTTTCAATTAAGTTGAAAAAACTAATAAAGTTCAAATCTATTTTTTTCTTATTATCGGTATTTCATATTGGATTAAACGATTATAAAATGATCGAATAGAGGGATGCATCGGCACATTCTTATCGTCAGTTTCATGCCGTACCACTAATCGTCATGCTTACTATCATTTCTCGTTTTCCTAATAGATTTCAACCTGTTTTGATGATTATCAAATCGAATAATGGATAATCTGTTCAAACATACGTAGAATTATGAAGAGATTTTGAACAATAATACTTCAATAGAATCTATTTCGGAGAATTTTCAGAATAAAACTTTGTAAAGAGATGTCTAACGGAGACCAATTAGAAAAATCTCGACTTGACTGAATCGACATGTCCAGAGGTCCTGTATCGGCTAAAAAAAAACAGTCGGCTAATTTCCTTTATTCGAGTCAAGATCGTATAGAGAAATATCAATGTAAGAAAAAACATCTCTAATTCATACATTCAATTTGCAATGATTGGGTAAAACTTGACAATGGGCTCCTAGCAAAATGAGGGCCAACCGGATGTTGGTTTTTATCAAAAAATAGTTAAATTAGAAATGAATTCTCAGGTCATTGTTGCTCGCTCGGAACCGATCGGCTTTTTAATGTTCCGGTGTGTTCCTTCTAACCGAATTTCAGCTGACTGTTCCTGCAATAGGTTCCATTCTGGTTCTGATCGCAGAAATGATCAACCTGGGTTGGTTTTTGCCTCAGGTCTTACTTATTAGTAGGGCAGATCGTTCTTAAATTGAGATATCAGATTATTACAAAAGTTGAGAATTTTTCATACAACTACATGTAGATATGTCAGAATCGTAATTTTGAGAGAAAAAAGTGTTCAAACAATATTCACTATGTAGTTCTGTCGTAGTTATACAGTGACGTCGAATAAAGATATGAAAGACTGATTTGATCTATGAGCGGTCAATATTTGAGAGCTTTCATGTGCTTATTTATCAAGATATTCAAAATTTTGCTTTTTCTATTAGCTGTCTTCATCAAATCGGGTAACAATAGACCATTTTGGCTTCCTATTTTCTCGATAAATACCCTCTGTTTGAAGTTACAAGACGAGAAATTTACGTCTAGAATCAATGAAATAGAAGAATGGATGGCAAACGAAGATAAAATCGAACTGACTCGAGCAAAAACTATCTCAGAGCAGAAGTAGTTCAAAAGTTGACAGGAGAGTTCAAAATGAAAGTATATACCGATATGCTATTCATTTCTAATATTATTCATAGCATTATATCGATATTGTGCAAGTGTGACTCGAGTCGATTTCAGTCTTTAATGTCTAATTCTGTTGTGTGTATTTTTTAATTTCTTAACAAAAACCAATGTGACGAGTGAACCTTATTTGATATATGTTACTTATTCTAATAAAAATATCAAATCGGCATGATTTGCAGTTTTATTGTATCGTTCGAATCCGATGTGTAAATATTGAATTTCTTCGATCTCTGCAGACTGATTTTGAAACTTCTAAAAATATTTTGTTTCGTTTGTTTTTGTCCTCACTACTACATAGAAAATCATGGGTTTATCTCCACGGGATCGAAAAATGTTGAACGCGCAAGGTTCTAAAAAACTCGACTTTTAACGCCACTTATCCTCAATAAATGCCTATTGTCTAATTCATGCTTTGTTGTTTACAGACAATTATTCAGTCAGTTTATAAGAAAAAAGCCTGAGCTTTCAGTATATGTGATTGATTGACATTTTCAATGCACTTATTGTAAATATTGGACATACAATCGCTGTTCAGTTTTCTGTTATGCAAGATTAAAAAAGATGCCCACATCGCATCGATTATCTGAAGGTTCTGGGAGAACTCTTGAATGAAAGAGAAGATTCAGAGACATAAAGTCGTTAAAAAAAAAGTAAATAAAAATGCGAACATTATGTATTGGAGGAATAATTTCAAACAAAATTTTGAACTAAAATTTTCACACTAAATGTCATGCAAGATTGCTTTTTTATTTTGTTTTGTTCAATAATTGTCTTAGTTTTTGCCCGTTTCAGACAGAAGTTCGCTCATTTTATTTATTTATCATAATCAACTATTTATGAAAAGACAAGCCTTTTAGAGTTTATGTTGCGTGAAAGACGACGAAAATTAATTTGAAAAGATGTCTTGAACGATTTTTAAAGTATATGTCAAAAGGGTCTACGAATCTTGCGCACAGAAACTTGTGCACTACGAATTTTGTGGATGTGGGATGTGGTTGGATGTAGGTGTAAATGTTGCTGAAGAGAAGATTCCACCACCTACACCCTTTTCAAGCTGATCATGCGTGCTTAAACTCACATAAAGGGCTGATAAGGACTTAAATATCGTATTCTCAGCGACTGTAGATCGCTTGAGTAGGATAAAATACCTAGCACAGTCCAAGTTTTATAAACATAAGCGCTTGAAAGCACTTTTCAGTAGTATAAGAATATCTAAGCACTTGAAATGTGCGCTATCAAGCACTTATAAACCAAAATTTCAAGTCTTTTAAGCTGAGCTTATGCACTTAAATTTTTACATGGGATATATATTATTGAAATCGACTTTTGATGTTATCTATCAGTGGTGGACTAGACTCAAATTTCCAGGAAGGGAGAGGGAGAGGAGGAGCACAATGAGGAGCCAGGTGGACATATGCGAAACATATTCTTTTCCAGAATCTAACCGTTTGTGTAGATACATACATATGCGATCTATCATTTCCTAAAATAGCATTTCTCAAAGTGTTATAGAGTCCTAGAAAAGAGCCTTACAAGGTTGGGCGGAGAAATCTGCATAAATGAAGAAAGTCAAGCCGTTTGGCAACATAAAACCATATTCCACAAGCAAACAATATCGCAAAAAATCTCTCATCTATGGACTTTGTGGTAAAAAAATTATCGTAATCCAATTAAAAATAGAGTAGAAAACAAAGGATCTCGAGCTCCAAAATCTATTTGAAAACGTACCGTTTCATATATTGTAAAAGCTAGCAAGGAATAATGTCTGATCGAGCTCAAATTTTTGTCAGATGCTCCTACATATGTATCTTACTTATGGCACTAGCGCAAACTCGTGAAACCTTTTCTACGATGTTTTACAAGATGTCGAAACTCAAGGTTTCCGATTGAAAACCTGTTTTTAGACACCCGTGTTACACTTTGAAGAAAAACTAATATGATATCCGGAATCAGTGCATTAAGCTACATCGAATAATATGTAGCTCAACATAATTTTCTTTAAAAACAATTTTCTCCGTGGTAGACTGCCATTTGTGAGCAAAGAAACCGCATGTCCGCCTGATTATGCTAAAGCTCCACACTGTGATGGGAGGCGGAGGGAGGAGGAAAATAAAAAATTATCTGTCCAGAATGTTTTTTTCATCTCACTTATATTCACCATCTGTTGACCTCTATATATAAACAGCAGTGTTCAGATTTCCCAAAAAGGAGATTTCGGTAATTTTGGAAATTTTTCTTTTGCATATCTGTAAGATTTTTGAGGTTTCGAGAATTTTGTTGGTGACCTTTTTTAAAAATCTGAACATACCTCCACCTCGCTCTACTAGCGGCCCGCTCACTCTCTCTCTCTATATATATGTCCATACCTTTCATTTTTAGTACGTTGAGTTTCTGTTGTTGATAATTGTGTGTGATTTTTTCTAGTTCTGCTTGATTAGTTTTTGCTGCATCATGTTGATCGTCAATCACCCGTTGATGTTGTGTTATAGTCGATTGTAAGTCTTCAACATTTGCTTTGAGACTATCTATTTGATTACCGTATGTAGTTTTTTCTTGCTGAGCTCGATTAAGATCACTTGTAATCGTACTAAGCTGTGTTTGAGCTTGTTGAAGTTTAGTATCGGTCATGCGTAACTCTGTCTCTGCTTTCTTTTGTGCTCGTGCTGCTTCTTGATGTTGTACAACTAATTGTTCTGCATTAGATTTGCATTTAAGAAATTGTACTTTTTTCTGAGCTGCGATTAGTGTGTGAGCGATAAGTTCTTTCTCGGTGTTAGCATGTTGGGTTTTACATTCGATAACATGATGTTGTGCAGCTTCGTGTTGTTCTTTTTTCTCTGTAGCTCTTGCCTTTTTCTGTTCATATTTGTCACGTGCTTTATCGACTGCTGCACGAGCTCGTTCGACTTCACGTTTTTTTGACTCAGCAATACCGCCTAAAAACGGCAGGGCAATTGAGCCGATAATTGATGTTGCTACAGCTGCAACTCCACTCCAAAGATCTTCCATTGGTTCTAAACTGTTCAATTTCGATATGGCACTATCTAATTCGTTTTTAGCTTGTGTTTCTTCGAGTAAAGCTGCATCAAGTTGTGATTTAAAACGTTTTTCTTCATTAACAGCTTTGTCATATTGTAGTTGCTGTTCACGTTCTTGTCTTTTCAACTGAACCAATGTTCGTTCCGCTTCTTTATGATCAGTTTCGGCAATTTGTCGTTCTTGTTTTGCGGTCTCCTTTTTTTCTTGCAATTCACTACATTCACTGGTTAATTTAGTTAAATTTTCATCCTGACGCAAACGTTCATCTTCAAGTTTCTTAATTTCGTATTGTTGCTGTTTTTGTTTTTGTTCCAATTGTTGAATGTTGATTTCGCAAGTTCGAAGTAAATCTTCGATTGTGTTTAGCTTTTGTTGTAGACGATTTAATTTATTTTGATTCTCATTTTGTTCATCTTCAAGACGTCGTATAGTCTTTTCGAGTTCACGTCTTTCAAGTTCAAGTGCCTTTCGTGCGGTGTCGAGTTGTTCTAAATGCGCTTCAGCCGTAGCTAATTCTTGTTTTGCTTTTTCTATTTTAATATTATTTGCTTCAATATCGTGACGTAATTTTTCAATTTCTTGATTTAATGTATTGATTCTTTCTTGACATTCTTGAATTTCTTTTTCAAGACGAGCAATTTTATTGATTTTATCTTGAAGGATGTTTTCCAATTTTTGTATATTCGTATTGAGTTGTTCGATCTGTTTTTCTAAATTTTTCTTTTCACGTTCCAAATTTCGTTGTTTTTCTTTGAGTTCGTCAATTTCTTTTTCAGTTTTCTTTAATTCGTCTTCAATTTGATCCATTTGTTCACGTAATTCCTTTATTCTTCTTTCACACGCATCACGTACAGCAATCTCGGCGTTGAGAACTTCTTCAGTTTTTCGAAGTTCTTCGGCAATGATTCTGCTCGTTTCTTCTAATTCATTTTGTTTCTTGTGTAAATCCGATAAATCCTTTTGTAATTGTACTTCATCATCAGTAAGTTGTTTTTGTATTTTGACTTTTAAATCGAGTTCAGTTTGAAGATTTGGAATTTTTATTTCACAATCGACAATATTTTGTTGTTCCTGATGAATTACTTTATTATTGTGTAATGTTTGTTCGTATAATTCAGTTTTTCTTGCTTCATTTTTTCTCAATAGATCGGCTTGTTGTTTAACTTGATCGAGTAATTCATCATTTTTATTCAATATTGTAGTAGCTTTCTTGTCGAGATCATTTTTTTCTATATTTAAATTATCCGCTATGATTTGTTGTTTGGCAAATTCTCTTCCACAGTGAATATTGAAAGCTTTTTCTTCTTTCAAAATGTTGGAGTAATCTTCTAGTTTATTTCCGAAAAAGTCAACGGCCGCTTCCTCAAGAGTCTTGTTCGTATTCGTAGTTGTTCCCTCAGTCATTCGTGTAAATATTAAATAGTTTGCCTAAATTTGATATTACTATATTTTTATTATCGTTACAGAATAATCTGAAAAAAGCAAGATGTCGATCAATTGGGTGTGGGTGTGCGAGTGTGTGGATGTAGGTGTAACTTTTCTGCTTGATGCAACCCACACCCACCCTTATAACCTTACTCCTTGTAGCTTTATTTGATGTTTGTCCTCTAATCCCGCACAGAGAAACAAACACACAGACACTGAGCATCTATATATAATGTTCAGTGTTTGTCTGGTATGTGTCTGCCTATGTCGGATCAAAGGTCAAGAATTAAAGGTCAAAAAAACCTATAAGTGTAGGCTATAAAGGAGTAGGACAATAAGGTGTAAGGCTATTAGAGGATGAGGCTATAGGGCATGTAGCCTATGAGAGGCTAAGGCTATAAGGGGGAATCACTAAAAAGAGGAGGTAATGCTATAAAGCGGAGACGCTCTAAGACGGTTAGGCTACAAAGGGTAAGACTATAAGACCGTAAGGCTATGTGGGTTATTAGCGATATAAGAACATCACGTCGTGGGGCTTCCATGTGCATAATGTCGAGTGTTTGTGTGTCTGTTATCAAGTGAAAGGTTAAAGTTGTGAGGACGTGTGTTAAAGAAAAAACCGCTGCTGTGCAGTATTACGCACGGGGTTCTCGTGAGTGTATGTATATAAATATATGCACAGGATTATATTTTGATAGATTCTTTCAGTAAATGTCTTCTAGAAAGTACAGAAATTTTCAATTATTTTGTAATTTATTTGTATCATAAATCCCGTTTTTCTCTTGGCTAATGCTCTGAATGATTCTTGTCGCTTCGTTCCATTTCAGTCAGAGAATCTGCTTAATATGGACGATCCGCTCCCTTCATAAGTTACATAAAAACCAGAGACAGTGATATAGGGCACGTCAGCGATGACGCTGAATTAAAGTTATCAGTTGTTCTCGTGAAATTGTTCATGCGACAGTGAGAGTCAAATCGATGTTATCTTATTTCTAAACAACAAAAAATAATATTAAGTACTGCAACAAAATCTGTTTTGCTAGAAAAATAAAATTATTTTCTTCAGCTATCTAAAAGTCAGTGGTTACTATCTGGCATTTCGAACTATCAATTTAGGTGGCTGAAATGAAGGTATTAACTATCGATTTCGAATTAAGCTTATTTGAATAGAAATGCTTATTGTGCAGTATATATAAACGACGTTAACAACAATAAATGACAATAATTCGAATAAAATAGAACTCCTTATCTTTTATGACTTTGAATGAGATTTCAGATCAAGCATCTGAGGTCGTAAACGACTGTCATGCGCGAGACTATGAATGTGAGTTGAAGAGAATACCTACACCTTCATGATAGCTTCATATCTGTCTTGTAAATCATCGAATAGTATATGAGTTATTCGATGCAAAAAGATTTAATTAAGTGTAAGGGATTCATTGAATATATCTGTTAAAAATATGTTGAGATTTTCTAAAAAAAAAAAGAAAAAATTACCCAAGTCAAAAATCAAATTTTAGCAATTTCCTTTTTTTCGAAATCCAAACAGTGCTGGAAAAGCATAGGACTCTACTATTGAAAATAAAGAATGTATGTATTTTCATTCGATCAAATGTTCCTAGTTCGATGCTTTAAAACAATAAAAATCTCTTCTTACCCAGATATTACTTTTGGAAGAAAATTTTGTTCGTGGTGGTTTATGATTATGGCGATAAGTTTATTTCGTTCTCTTTTTTTTGTTTTTAATTGAAAGTGTGTAGAAGAAAGAACGAAAAATAACAGATTTTAAATGCTATCGAGAGTGAAATCTTGCGTCCGACCATCCACATTGCTTTGTTTTCGATGGTTCTTTTTCACGTCATCTGCAAACATTTGATCGTCAGAAAAGAAAAGGCGTAGACGATACACAGCTGTCGATTCACACCGAGCACTATCGCATTTCCACAAACGAGGATTTATCAAAAGCGCAAATTTATGTTTGTCTTGAGTAGACGAATTGAAATATGATTTCGCATTTCGAGCTCCTTCTTCTCATGCAATCAATAGAGACTTTTACATGAAGGATGTGAGTATGGATGTCTGAGTGGGTGTCGTTTGTGTGCCAGAGACCGAAAACAAGTCCCCACACCCACATCTACACATTCACACCCACACATCATTAAGATAAGGGGACAAAAAAAAAGACAAAATATTTGTCAAATAGGTATTTATCGTATTTATTAAAGAGAGCTTTTTAAAAGAAAACAAAACTCAGATTCTGATTCACTGTACTTTTTTCTATCTATCTGCATTGAAGAAAACGTGAAAAGAAAGCTTTCTTAATTGAAAAAATTTTGTCTTCGACAAGAGATGGTGACATTTTTTGCTTTTTCTTCACTTCCAACAAGCATAATTCGGAATGAGAATGACGTAGACTGCTGAAATTTTCGGAAGTGTACGAAGTCGCTAAGAGGAATACTCTATGAAATTTTCAGGTCAATTGAAGTAATTCACCCACATAATGCGTCATGAATTTAATCATCGTTTGAACTAATAAAATCATTTATAATCTACATTTATTAGATGCATTTGAGTCAATGCCAATGTCAAATAACAGAAGCTTTCTACGTCATCATTTGGTTACGGTTCATACTAAACTCTTGCGGTAAGAAATACAAACATGTGCGGTATACAACCATTCTATTTTACGTATATTTATCTTTTGTTGGTAACGAAAGGGTAAAAGAAGAAGTCGTAAAAAGAATTACAAATAGCAAAAGATGAAATTTATTCGACATTTTTCTTTATCAATAGAGCCTTTGAAAGCGTACAATCTATTTCATTCTTTTTTTTTATGTATGAGATTTGGATATTGCGGGCACTTTTTATCTATATCATACGAACCAACTATATATATTTATATGTTAATTGTAAGTTATAAAAGCACATCATACTTGAGAACGTTTTTGTCATTATTGTCAATGCACATGATCTTGAGAGTTAAATACAAGGAGAAGCGT